TTGTAGGCCATACAAATATTTCTCCCGGCCCGGGAATCGAACCTGGAACCTCTGCGTGGCAGTCCGGCATGGTAACCGTTCGGCCACAGAGGCAGTTAAATAATAGTGAAAGTGTTTATTTATTTAGGACAACTTACAAAACATACACAAACACTTGGTCAAAACAGTAGATATTGTGGCTCGAGTTTTTGTGGTGTTTCATTTACAAGTTGCACGGCATGCGTTTAAACATAGGGGTATTAAAAAAAAACTTAATGTATTTGACTACTTACAAATTAACTGTTTAAGTTTAATGTTTGTGTTAAATCAATCACTTTGGTAAAAATATATGGTATAACTTAGAATAATAACGCATAGAATGATAGTTTCATATCAAACGAACTGTCACAAGTGAAGCAAAAATCAAATTCATGTAGGCTAGTTTTAGTAGTAGGTTAATTTTCGGTTTTAGTGAATATTTATATAAAAATACAAGTTGAAACGCGTTACTTCCTTGTGGAATGTGATGTTAGTATCTATTTTATGTTTGTCTGACGTATTTTTACACTCATTTACCGCACATTTCGTCATTTTTAGCTAAAATTCTTGATCTGTTCGCGGTGCAAGTTGACCTTGAGCACACTCGTGTAGGCCCATTGGGCGCGCTTCAATTTGCCTCACTTAGCGTGTGCGGACTAGGTTTCTATGCGTTATTATTCTAAGTGGTATAACCTCTTTTTTAAAAAAAAAACCGTCCTCAACAGTTCGTGGAATTATGTCTATTTGCTAAGTTTTAGGGTGAGGCCACACAGCGTAATTTTGTGAGTCGTGTTTCCGTTTCTTAACTAGCGCAGTTTGCGGTCGACTGAAATTCGGTTGGAGCGCTAGACGAACGTATTTTATTCAGTTGATTTTAAGCGTTTATACGGGGCGTTTGTGTCGTAATAGTGTAATGGATCCATTAAAAATAGTCCGCATTTATGAAGCATTCGAGGACGATGTTAGAAAAGGAAAAAGAAGCTGGGTACATAAATATTTTTCAAGAATTATTAAGCCTTACTAGGCCTAAATCCATTGACTTACAATTATGTGGACGTCGGGTCCGCGCTAAAAAGTGTCCGAACTTATAGGGCGTTAAAATCGTATACAGAGCGTCATTCACCCTATAGTCTTCGTTTGTTCGACTGACAGCAAAGCAAGCAAAATTAGACAGTACTGCGATGACATTACAATTTAAATTCAATGTTTTAGCTTTTTCATATTCCTTTCATGTCACTACGTTTAAATAGGTTGACTTGGGACATTTTTTTCGTGGTTTTTGTATTAGACCCGTCGTCCATTTATTTGTAGGTCAATGCCTAAACCTAAACCTTTTATTACCAAGTCAGATACAAATATGAGACAAATCATCAGTCCAGAGGAAAGACTAATAATAACAATCAAATAAGTTGTTCAGTTATTTATATTTTAATCTCCGAACCGAACATTTTCGCAAGAAACGACTATACTCACGCGCATCCTATACCAAAGTGACCCCTTCTCTCATCCCTACCACCCGCGCCAGCCCGTCACACGATGCGACTGAACGTCAGTCGTCATTACGCCCGTGAGTCGGCAGATAACTCATTTTGCGTCGTCGTGTGAAACAAACCGTACTTTTATATGAAACCGAATGCTGCGCAAACTACACAACTCACAACTCATCAAATTACTCACACATATTGAAATCGGTTTTTGGAAAGTGCACGAAACCGGGTTGATCCCCTAGTTTGCCACCCTTAGAGGTGGAATATTTCCATTAAATTTAAACGGGACTGATACTGAGGTACCCTCTTTCCAACAAAATAAAGAATCATCAAATCCGATTCACAAATTTTTGAGTTTCTTTTAAATTACATAGCGCATAATGACTGTCACGCCAGTTGGCATGCGATCCCAAGAGCAGGTCTCTAACTACTCGTAGGGCTATGATATGTGTAGATGTGTCAACATCAAAATCTAATTAGGACATCAATTTGGAATAATACCGATACGCACTTTACTACAAGACACATACTCGCGAAGGCACGCGCACAAGCACGCTCGCACGAAAGCACGCACGCACACACACACACACACACGCCTACACACACAAACACACTTTACCTATAAGTTCTTATTACTATTCCACTTAACTTTTTTAGCAAAGCTTCTCTGAGCTGGAATTAATAAGAGGAGTCATTGACCTTAGCTTATAGGGAGGGAGCCTGGTGATTAGTCACACAGGGATATAACCCTAGTACTGACACCAGATTCTCACAATGTGCATAACAGTACAAAACTTTGTATTTTCGTCTTAAGTAAGCCTTGTGAGAGTAATAAATTATCATTCATTCATTCATTCATTCAATTGAAGAGTTATCGCGTAATATACATACAAAAAATACAGTTCAATTGAGAATCAATCCTTTTTTTTAAGTGGGATAAAAATTGAGGGTATACACTGATTACTATACGGTATTTATTTATTTATTTATTTAGGCACATCAACAAGTAATACATTATTACATTTTACAGATTAATTATATTCGAAGTCATGGTCCGATGTTATTACCCACTACAGATTACAGATATGCACAACATTGGCTATAAGCAATAACAATATTTACTTAACATTAACGCAGGCTACTAACATCGAAAATTATAAAAAGAAATAAAAAAATTGATGATAAAATTAAAGAATGAAAAAATTAAAAACACAATCAACTCAAATTTGCCAGTTTACGCACACAAAAAATGATTTAAAAAAATTTTCACGATAGAAAAAAACCGCAAACTTACCTCGAAATTTTACAAGAATAGGTACTTTATATATACCAATGTTTTTTTTTCATATCAACTAAACTAAATAGAACACGTATAGTACACAATATACATTTTTCACGTGGCATTAATTTCGTTTATAAAAAAACATGTTCTAAAATAAAGCCAGTGCCGTACTAGTTACGGCACTGGCTTTATTTTACCATCAACCAACCGTATTAGTTACGGGAAAAATTTGTAATTTATAACCCCGTAGTAAGGAGGGAAACTCTGTATCGCGGGTGCAATGGACGCACACATAGACAACCATAAATAAATGTAGGTCATAAAAAAAAAGAAAAAAACAGAAAAAATATTATAACATACATAAAAATTTAGTATTAAGTACAAATAACTATTCTTGTAAACTCTCCTCTCACACATACTCCGAAAGAGGAAGACAAAAAAAGAAAAAAGAATTAAAATTTAGTATTAAGTATTCTCAGTAAACACTTTTCTCACACATATTCCCAATACACTCGCATGTAATTCAAAAACACTATCCATACTGTCAAAGATAAAATGTAGGCCAATAGCATCCCGTCTTTGATTAGTACAGATATGGAATATATAAAACAAAAATCCCGAAGAATTGATCCCGGAACACCTGCGTGGCAGTTTGTAATTGCTGAATTTTTCTATGCGTTGTTCGATCTTCTCCCGGTTAATGCCGAAATTGAGGTTGCGACGGAATATCAGAGTCCTGCGTCGAGGCCTTTTCATGGTAGCAACACGTTGTTCACATGGTTGTTTATTGTTTACTTTTTAATGATACTTGTATGTGACGTTTGATTAAAACGACCACGTCAGCAAAAATGAAAAAAAATACAATAATAAATTTATGAACAAAATAATTATAGTGACATTATTTATATTCACAATGACTCTGCTCTCAGGACTTGTAAATTTTTTATTTATTTATTAAGTTCACTTAAATAATTCCATCGTAATAGTAGTGTACGTATAAATTTCTAATCATATTGTTATTAGTCAAAAGCGTTAGTTTTATTTTAAATTTTAGTTAAACATTATAATTTTAGTTAATTAAGTTTTAGTTAATGTTGTGTACATCTAAGTGTCAATTACATCGCTTGTATGACACGATACACTTCCGGACACATAATTTGAGCTTAAGCATGTTTGATTGATCAAAAGCTATTATGCAAGTTTTAAACTAGTATACTAAACGTCTTTTCCATAAGCCCTTGTTGGAAATTTGTATTTTCAAAACCGAGGAGAAAACTTTTTCTTCGATGATAACCTATTTTTGTATTCTAGCCCTTTACGACAAAAATGCGAGGTGGCGCGAATTAGGTATGTGTCCGGGAGTACATAATAAGTAATATTGTACACAGATGTGGGTAAACCTAACAAATAAACAAAATAAAAAAAAACATTATTAAAATTTGGTAAGTTGGATCGTGGTCGGTTATATGCATTCGACGACCTTTGCCATGAATAAGTCACGTGCAAACAGTAGGAAGCTGGTAGATTGCCTTCGCATTCTTTATTTACAATATAATCTTAAAAATTTTTACGTCTCTATCAAGAATAAACTCTGGCTTTAAAAAGAACCTTCTATTACATTTTGATGATGTCATAACTGCATATGAAAATCGATATACTTCTTTAAGTTGCCATTACACTTAATAATGCGGAATCGGTGAAAAAGACGATGATTTTTGTTTTCGCTCGAATCGCCGATGCGACACGAGTGTTTTTTTTTTGTACGATTATTGCGACCATACACATGGTAACTCTCAGAGTACAACTAAAAAAGTCAAGTTATTACTCATCATTATCAACTCATATACTCGTAAGTCCATTAATGAGTACCGGTATAGTATAATAAGTGGCAGTAAGACAACGCCGTCTGTCAATCCGTGTAGTTGTGGATGGTTACTCGTCTGCTCCTTATGGTATAAATGTCGGTATACCTCAGGGATCTGTCCCTCCGCCATTATATTCTTGCTGCACATCAATGACCTGTTGCTGATGCCCGGTGTCTTTGGGTACGCAGACGACAGCACTGTGGTGGAGCACCGCTTTGCCACTATGGCCGTAGATATAGTTAACAAAGTTAACCCTAGCAAACTTATGGACAACCTGTACAGACTTGCTGTTAAAGAAATTGCTGTTCAATGGTCGGCGTAATAACAATGTTATTATATTTTTTTCAGGTAAAACCCAGTACCATTTTCCGCGCTGCTGACTCCGCCCCGACCTTCACTGGGTAAGAGGACGACGTGATAAATTTAATGACGTCTAGTATGAAAATCTCGTGGTCGTTATTTTATTTTAATAACGGCTTTGGTTTCAACGGAATGAATATAAATAATGTTGACATTTTGTATACAGGCTTTCCTATGACTGTGGGACATACAGTGAAAATACTTTTACCTCCTAGCCCCATTTACTAACTAAAACTGCTATAAAAATATAAATATGTAATAAATATATATAAACTGCCTCCGTGGCCGAACGTGGGAGAAATATGATCTGAAGTGGTTCAGTCCCAGGTAATTATTATTCCTGTGATCACCCGGTGCGAATTATCTTGAGAATATATATGGACGAAATTCATCATTCATCATCATCAACCCATTTATACGTCTCACTACTAAGCACGGGTCTTCTCGCAGGCGAGGTTTTAAGCCATTGTCCGCTAATCTACCCAATGCGGCTTGGGAGCTTCACACGTCTTCCGAGGGTTGTGAACCTTCTTCAACGTGCAGGATCCTCGATGATTTCCTTAACCGAAAGGTTCATGATACGTTTCAAATTATATTTCGCACGTAAATTCTGAGAAAGGCAGATTTGCCTTTTGCTCGAATTCAAACCTATGGCCGGTGCTTGAGATATGGTAGATCAAACCATTACATAGAACCATAATTCACATATTTTGAGTAACAACACTATTGTAATAGCTGTGCGATTTTATCCACGTGTACACGGCCATTCGATACTATTAACAAAAATAAACATGTTACGGCTAGTCTGTTGATTATTATGGTTAGGATAAATGAGTTAAGATTTTTTTCATGATATCAAGTGATGGGACGAACAAGTCGTGCGCCTGGTGGTAAGCGACACACCTGTCCATAACAGGTGCAGTGCCACTCAGAGCTTTAAAATTCAAAGAACTGAGGGGCATTACTATTGCGCCCGTCACCCTGAGACCTAAGTTGATAAGTCACTTGTGCCTGTAATTTCACCAGCACCCTCACCCTTCACGATTTTGAAAATGTTCACATTACTGCTTGGCGGCAGAAATAGGTAAGGTGGCAGTACTTCCCAGGACAAACTCGTTCATAACGACTACTGTCTACAAAACATACCAAAATGTGTGTATGCGTAGCGTCTGGTGAAATTATATTTCGCACCCCTCATGTAAGAACGGCATAAGCGGAATTACGTCAAACATGTTTATTGCTCCACTAGATACACAATAGCAATAAACATGTTTGACGTAATTCCACTTATGCCTTCTTCCAAGAGGGGTCCATTTATATTTTTAAATTTTTAAATTTTTAATTTTTAGTTCTTTTTTTTTGTATGTATGTTACGCGATAACTCCGGTATTCGTGAACCGATTTTCATGATTCTTTTTTTGTTGGAAAGGGGCTACTTCCATAGTGGTCCCATTTCATTTTGAAGAAAATCATCCACCTCAAAGGGTGGCTGTTCACGCATGAAGATTCATTTTTATAAATAGCGCCTAACTTTAATTTAGGAGCAATTACTTTTAGCAGTTATTTAGTTAATTTTGCTATTTCTCCAATTCAAGGCGTTTTTCTCTCGATATACTTGTAGTGTCGTAGTGAGAACCTATTTTTATTATCTCCAGTATCAAGTCCTGTATAGTGGCGAACTAGGGGATATTTCAATGAAACTTAGCAAATAGACGTAATTCCACGTACTTTTGAGGTCGGTTTTTTTTAGTACTCTGTACTGAGATTATGTTGCGTTCAACTTCTATACAACCAGTGTTCCCGCAAATAAATGCGTATCACGTGATATTTGTTGTAGTCTACTATACCAAAGTCATTATTCATGTTTTGGGTTGTAATTTTAATACGCATCTAATGAAAGGTACGTTGGTTTAAATTACAACCGAACCTCAATTAACCCTCGAGAAAATGTTACATGACGACGTACTGCCCCCTTACCTATTTCTGCCGCCAAAGACTAACGTGAGCATTACTGCGTTCCGGTTTTGAAGGGTGCTGGTGACATTACAGACAAATGAGACTTGTGAACTTATGTCTATTGGTGACGGGTGCAATGCACTGCCTCTGAGCGGCACTGCAAACTGGGAACTGAAGCAAATATTTTGTTACACTCATGATTATGAATACAAAGAAAAAAATTTGTCGAGTGGGACTTGAACCCGCGGCCATGCTGCACCGTAGCGTTGCTTTAACCATCTGAGTCACTGGACCAGTTACCAAGTGGTCGAAATTCTCCTATGTGTTTTTAACCGACTTCAAAAAAAAAAAAGGAGGTTATACGTTCGGTTGTATGTATGTTTTACGTTTACGTTTTCAGACATCTCCGTCAATTGTGGACCGATTTTGAAAATTTTTTTGTTTGAAATGGTGGTGGTGGATTTCTGATGGCTGATGGGAGGATTTCCCATGAAAATCGAAGGAAATCCTCAAAATTTATAGGCATGTCCGCGTATTTGTTGAGGTACGAACTATTTTGTTATATTGTCGTATACAAACGCATAGTTTCTTACTGGTTGTTTAGTTCTTAGATTCAAATTCCTACTGACAATGAAGTTCACTCTCATGACACCTCATTCTTGCTTACTATCTTGTGTTCTATGTTTATCTCATTTAATATAAAAGTTATTATCTGTGCTCTCTTTGTTTATTTGTGTACAATGTACGCTATCGCTGCTGCGCTTCTCGTGTCCTACCTCAAGAGTATTCACCAATCCCTCCATCATTATTTAAATTATATACTATTGAGGTGGCCCCTGATGCTGTTCTGGGTTCGTTTCGGCTATCACAGAATTACTGATTATTTTCCGCAAATAAAACTCGACTTTTCACTTGACACAAAACGTAATCAACAAATCACCGTCAAATGACAACCAGAAAAGAAAATACAAAATGTACAAAGGAACAACAGTCCCATTGTCACCAAGAAATCAGAATCTGATGGAAATCGAAAAAAGTCGTTAAGCAAACTTGAAGACGGTTAGAATTATTGTTATAGATCTTTGTCAGTACAAAACTTTCCACATTCGTCGCCGCTAGTGACATCCAGTGAGTGATTTCCACAGCCGATACCTGATTTTGTGTGTTCGATCTTTGTACTCAGTCCTAAATAAAACTTGTGGAGTCATATCATGAAAACTCTCAATAAATACTTTTTTCCTTTCGGCGGGTTAAGACCACAATGAGAAATTTCAACATCTTCAAATAACCACTTCTACAAATGACCATTTCTTTAAATGCTATTTCTACAAAAGAACATGTCTTGAAATGGTTTTTACAATTCAATATGTTTCGGCTTCGAATTAGGAACATTATCACAAGTTTGACGATGGACCTTTGAGTATATATAATTAGATATCGCATATTATCGCCCTGGAGAAGAATTGAAGGAGGATTTAAAATAAAGATTTCGGAAATTTTGAATATATTATATGCTTTTATAGGTTATGTATTTTTACTATACATGTAACGAAAACCGCTAGTAAGACCTAATTAAGCAAATCGATTCATTCAATTAATTAATAGATTTTTAGTTTGCATTACAATTTAAAAAAATATTGTCAGGTCAGTGACTCGTTTGTTTACTTTTTGTTTAAAATGGATTGAAACGAAGTATAGATGAGAAATAGTTTTAATTTTAGTTCTTTTTTAATCATTTCAGTTAATTTTTGAAATGAAGCAACCACATGAAATTCTAAGTGTATTATACACCAGTGGAGTATATAAGCTTCTTGCTTGCAACGCGATGTTGCACTACAGCGCGTTTGCAGCGCGTATAAAATACACCGCGTGTGTAGGCTCTTAAGAATGTTGTGATGTGTCGGGCATAAAATCGAATCCCTGAAAATTACGCTTCATAACGTTATTAATTATTATCTCTTTTCATTACTCCAAGAGCTACTGAAAATGATCTCAGTTTAAAGGAGTTTTCAAAACTCACTTTGATCGCAGAGCGCACATCGACAAATGATTGTTAATTTGTATATTAACACTCGAATAATTTCGTATAATGAAAGGGTTAGAAGGGTGGATACAGGTTAACGAAAAGTGAGGATAAAATTATTGCTTAATACGTCTTATTATCCAAGTGTTGCGAACTGGAAAAATTGTGTAGTTTATGAAGGAGATGAAAGTGGGGTTGAATGGAGTGTGAATGAAAGATTTATGGCCTGTAAGGGGTCATCGTCAGATTTTGGAATTTAAAGCTCTGAGTGGCACTGCAATTGTTATGGACAGGCGTATCACTTAACACCAAGCGCACGACTTCTTCGCCCCTTAACTTTGTATCATAAAAAAAACTGGAATAATTTTGTATCTCATTTAGTGTCAGTTTAAAAACACGCGAAATCACCATCATGATTGACAGTTTTCGAAGAAAAAACTTTACGCGCCAATATCACGAAAGTTACTAGTAAATATTAAATAGAACAGCTGCAAGGCAGAGAAACATGCTGTAGCGTTCTTAATAAGGACATCAAATTTCCAGTGCATAACCAACCAAGAAATATCTTACAACTAGGTACGGATTTCCCTAAGAGTTTGGCACTTTGGCTCAATTAGGGATAGGAACACGTCAATACTATTTTAATACGATGGCGGCGGCAGAAATAGATAAAATGGCAGCATTTCCCAGGACAAATTCTTTCTCAAGCTCTGCTGCCACTAAAACGCTCCAACAATCAGCAGCAACTTCTATCACAATATACCTCCATTATTATTTATGAGTAACACTCCACTTCTCCATCGTGCACACCTTGTGATCGCGACAGATAATTAAACCACACTACGCGGCACTCTTACTAACTGCCAGATAATGCAAAACACTGTCTACTGTCTTCCTGAGCGTGCCTTACATCTCCGTTGCTAATGAAGAGATTTGGTAGTGGACCTTAGAGTCGATGGCTTAGCGGTGGCAATCGTTAGTTGTTCAATGCGCACCGGGAAGTGAGCGTGCCTACGTGCCTGACGTGCCC